GGTGTGGAGAGAGGCAGGGCGGCGGTTCTTTGCTTCCCCTGGAAGCAACGCGGAGGAGGGGGCGGATGGGGAGAGTGCTGGAGCAGGGATGACTTAACTGTCATCGTTACGGCTGTCACCACACCTGACGGCGATGGTGCTTGCGCTGGCAGCGTTGTTGCTGCTGCTTCTATTAGTGGCTTGGCTGGATCAGGTTTGGCCGTGTCAGGTTCGGCTGGATCAGGTTCTGCTGCGATGGGTTCGGCTGTATTAGGTTCGGCTGGGCCCCAGTGTGTGAGTGAAGGCAGCCGCAGTGGCACAGGAGGTGAGGCTGCTCCTGTGCTGTCAGCGCGACTGCAATCCGCTGCCGCCCGACTGTGGACTGCAGGCATGGCAGGGGCGAGTGGCGTGGCTGAGGAGAGTGACATGGGAGAGAAGGGAGGAGGAGGAGGAGGAGGAGGCAGAACGGGGGCGGGCGGATTCCTGGGTTTGGTGCTCATGGGCGGGGCTGGGGGAGATGAGGAGATGGCAATGATAAGGGGAATGGAGGGGTGTGAAGACGGGGGAGAGGAGCGGCAGAGAGGACACGCAGAAGGGCTCAGGGGAGTGCGGGGCATCAGGGAGGGCGAAAGGGGGCTGTGGACTTCAAGCACGCTTGCTGCCCCTCTTGAAGGCACTCGACCTGCACCTGCGTGCAAGCACCCCCAGGAACTTGAGTCACGGCAACTCTTTCCTGCAAGTAATGGCTTCAACTGGGCCTGCAGGGGAGCGACAGAAGCGTCTCAGGGCATCGCAGCAGTAGGCAGCGGCGTTGTCAGCAGCGGCAGAGGTGGCAACAGCGGCTGTGGTGGCAGCAGCAGCTGTGGTGGCAGCGGTGGCGCTCCCGCCACGAGCGCTGCGGCTTGTGGTGCGTGCAGCTGTGGGTCGGGGCAAGAGCCACGCGTGGGCAGCGGCAGCAGAGGGACGCGAGAGGGCAGAAGCGCCTGTGGTGGCCCTCATGCTACGAGTACTGAGACGGGCAGCGCCAGCGCACCGTGGGTTAACGGCCGCAGCAGCTGTGCCTCACAGCAACGGCCGGGGGAGGGCAGCAGGGAGGCGAGCCGGTGCAGTGGTGGCGTTAGTGCTGCTTTTTGGGAGGCCCTGCTGTGGGAGAGAGGGGGGGTTGAGCAGAGGGATGCGAGCAGCAGCGGCAACGAGAGGGGCGATTCGGAGGAGTCAGCAAGGCTTGAGAGGAGGAGGGAGGGTCAAGGGGAGGAGGATCAGGAGTGTGTTGAGATGGCGGAGCAGGCAGAGGGGGAAGCAGAAGAAAAAGGCGGTGAGGACGGAGGGGGGCGAGAGGATGGCTTTTGTGTTGAGGCGGTGGGAGGGGAGGGGGTGTGGCAGCGGCTGATGGCCCACCAAGTGCGCCAAACAGCCTGCAAGGCACATGTGCTCTCCACGCCCTTCCCCTTGCGGACTAGCCACCCTTGCATGCCTCACCCTCCACTCTCCCCGTCTGTGCATCCGCCCCCCTCGTTCTCCTCCTCCTCTTCCTCCTTTTCCTCTCTGTCGTCCTCCTCTCCTTGTCTCTACCCACCTTATCGCAGTGCCTCCTTGCTTCTCACCTCCTCCTCCTCTTCTCGCTCACCTCGCTCTTTTTCCTCCTCCTTTTCCTCCTCCTCTTCCTCTCCTTGCATTTATCCACCCTACCGCAGTGCCTCCTCGCCCCTCGCCTCCACATCCTCCTCTCCCTTTCACTCCTTTCACTCCTCGCACTCTTCCTCCTCTGCTTCCCTCCATGTGCATCCCCCATCACCCCCCACACAGCCATTCAACCAAACACACGGCCCCACCACATCGAGCCGCTGCCCCTCTGCGCCCACTCCCATCGCCTTTCTTTCACCTGCCTCCTCTGCCCTCTCCCGGCTGCCCTCTCACTCCACTCACGAGCCTACCACCCCAAGAGCCTCCCTTCCTAGTGCCCCCAGTGGGCCCGGGTTTCTTCGTCCTGCCCTGCGCACCAGCCCGCGCTATCAGCAAGGCAGGGCGGGGCAGCCTATGGGTCTGCCTCGCAGCGTATCGTGGGCGGACGCGCAGGGGAAGGCTCTGACAGAGGAGCTTCGGTTCTCCGCACGTGATGGACAGTAACAGAGAAGAGAGAGTTGGCGCAGTTGCAGACAGCTCAGCACAGGTCACCTGCAGAGCCTGCAGTGCAGGTGAGCTGCCAGAGGGGTCATGTGCCGTGGACGTGCTGGAAGGGGGGAGGGTGAAGGGAGGAGAGGAGGAAAGCAGGGGTTTGCCTGCTGCCATGCCAGCCAGTCATAAGGATTTTCATTTGACTCAAAAGACGTGCTGAGTCAACAGCATGCTGACGGCCCAGTCACCCCGGTTTTTTTTTTCCTGCTGGTCAAGCGGCGCTCCATGCACCTTGGCCATCAAATGGCTTTTGCGCCTGACTGGCTGTCGCCGCACACATCATCACTCGGCACGAGTGCCTTTCAACCCTCGGGTCAGGCCAGGGTGATCTCTCCATCGCTCGAGTGGTTTCACCTGTACACACTACTTGTGGAATGGTGGTGCCAGGCGCCTGTTTTTGTGCCGCGCAAAGGCATTCACTTGTCCAGGCTACCTGGCACCACCACCACCACCATTGCTTGCGCCGGAGTTGCTCCTCTGAAGACTCTTTTTCCTCCTGGTGTAACGCAATTTGATTTGCCTTGGCCATACGGCAACTGCAAATGATGCGCCGCTGTGCTGTCTTTTTGTGCCCTACTAGGGCATTTCATTTCACCCATGCAGCCCAGGCTACCTAGCACCACCACTGTTTGCTTGCACCAGATCTGCTTCACATGTCGTTTCGGTACTCCCTTTTCTCTTGCTGTAACGTTCTGTTCGGTTTATGATACCCGTAGAACTATTTAATGCCATGTAGGCGTCCGCAAGGCACTTGCCATGTTTTTTGTCAGAAACTAACGAGCAGGAATGGCTTCACTAGGAAGGAATGAGAGTACAAGTACGGTACCTAACCCTACAAGGGTTGTACCCTACAGACATATAAATTAGTTTTGACACACCCCCATAGGCCAAGTGGGGGATAGTAAGAGCAAGCAATGATCACAAGACCAGTCAAAAGCAACAGAGCAAAGCTCAGGGTGGATCACGAAGTCACCAACTACCGGTAGTCTGAGCATAAGTAAGTGGCCACAAGGACAGTTCACATGCAGAGTTATTAAAGCACAAACGATACAGTGATCACAACCTAGCAAAAGTAAGCATGCAGGTGTGAATGTATATATAGATCACAGTACAGAGCAAAGTCAAGTAGTAAGAAGGTTAGGCTGAGTAGGCACAAGACCTAGAGCAGTGCAAAAACGTTGATGATCACTAGACACAAGTGCCTTGGTGATAACATTAGCACTGTCGGACTGTGAGGCCACAAACGCAAGACGAAGCTTACCACGCTGCTGCAACTTTCGCGTAAGGAAGTACCGCAGAGCGATGTGCTTCGTTCTGTGCTCTTAACACAAGGCAATCATGGCCTTGTTGTCGACATACAGAACTGGAGGAGAACGAGGCCTCTCTCCTAGGTCGGTAAGCAGGTAGGTTAGCCAGCGCAACTCCTCAGCAGCCATGGCCCCAACGTAGATCTCAGCCTCACAACTGGAGTTGAGAACAGAAGACGAGCACGTAGACCTCCAAGAAACTGAACCGGAGCCAAGGCTGAAGGTGTAACCCTGTAACGACTGCTGAATAGCCTGGTCATCTGCCCAAGAAGCGTCTGAGTGTCCAGTGAGTACAACTGAACCCCGTCCTCCAAGTACGAGCCCCATGCCCGATGTACTGCACAAGTAACGCAACACCCTCTTAGCAGCCCCCCACAGCTCTGGTCGGTGTCTCCCGTGCGCAACGTAGCGTGCCAAGATGCTGAGAGGGTTCGCAAGGTCAGGTTGAGTGCAGGTCATCAGGTACACGAGGCAGCCCACAAGCTCTGTATACAGACCACTCGGCTCTACAGACTCGTCCGAAGGTGGAGCTTAGAGTGGATGGCCTGTAGGCAGAGGAGTGGACTGTGGCGAGGAGAACTGGAAGATGAAGCACTGAAGGAACTGGTGCACAATGTGTGACTGAGTCAGGGTGATGGTGCGTCGTGCTCTGTCCCGGGTGATCTGCAAGCCAAGATAGTTGCGCAGCTCACCCAGGTCAGTGCAAGTGTGTCTCTTCTGCAGCTCCGACTTCACAAGGGCCAGTGCCTCAGTGTCAACAGTAGCAAAGACCAAGTCGTCGACATACACGAGGATGTAGAACGGCGACAAAAAAGTGTCGGTGCGTAGAAACAGCGACGGGTCAGCAGTCGAAGGAGCAAACCTAAGAGCCGCAAGTGTCGTTCTCAGTGTGTCGTGCCATTCACGAGGCGCCTGGCGGAGACCGTAGACTGGCCACTTGAGACTCCACTGGGTACCCGCAGTAATCGACCAGTGAGGCCACGTGGGCGGCGTAGCCAGATCTCCTCGTGTAGGCTGCCCTGCAAGAAAGCTGTGCTGAAGTCAAGAGAGTGAAGCTCGTAATCACGTTGTGCGGCAACGTGCAGTAACACCCGAAGAGTGGTCATCTTCGGGGTGGGAGAGAAGGTCTGGAAGAAGTCAACTCCCTGTCGTTGACTGAAGCCTTGTGAAACGTAACGTGCCTTAAAGACAGGCGGAGAACTCGGCGGCCGCTTCACCCTTAAAATCCACATGCCATCGACTATGTTTGCCCCAGGAGGGGGAATCGCGTCGACGTAGTTGCCTGTGGACTTCCAGGATGCCATCTCTGCGTCCACGGCTGTCTGCCACTGAGAGGAGTAAGGACCCGTGATCGCCTCTGCGTAAGAGCGCGGGGTCAGGATGTCTAGTGCATCTGGGTTTCCCTCAGGGGCAAGCAACATGGTCGTGAGATTAGGTACAGCAGCCGCAAGACACTCGAGCTCAAACTGCCTGTCCTCAAGGACGTCCGTGCTAAGGGCACACTCACCCCCAACGGAGGGAGGACAGTCAGACTCAGACTCAGTGACAAGACTCGCATACGAAGTAGTCGAGACGACACGCAACAGCAAAGTCAACAAGCTCAGCGACTAAGGCAGACGCAGCAGCAGACTCAAAAGCAGGGTCGGTGACAAGAGTGGCGAGAACACGCGTGACTGTGGGACTAGCAGTACGAGCACGGTCGGACTCAGGGTCAGGAATGTCAGGAAGTGAGAACGCAGGAGGAGACACGCTGTGGAACAGAGGAAGGACGAAGTGCCATAGTGTGAGTGCCAGGGACAGGAGGAGGACGCGGACGAGGAACACGACGACTAGTGCGAACAACGCGAACAGGCGAGGCAGGACGAGACGCAGGCTCACGATGCTCTGTAAGAGCGTCTGTCTGCTCAGTGTACGGAGAAGGAGCAGGCAACGGGGAGCCTGGCTGTAACTGCAGCTGCGACTGGTCAGGCGGTGGACACAGTAAGGGAGGAGTAAGGCCAGTAGAACCTGGCGAAGCGCCGAGCCAGGTGGTGGCAGAGACGACGGTGGCAGCGGAACGAAAAGCAGGCGCTGCTGTGCAGTACCCCCAGCACCAGCACCTCCAGTGCCTCCAGCACCAGTACCTACAGCTCCAACGTCTCCAGCGCCAGCACATCCAGCTCCAGTAGCTTCAGAACCTCCAGCTCCAGTGCCTCCAGCACCAGTAACTACAGCTCCAACGTCTCCAGCGCCAGCACCTTTAGCTCCAGTAGCTCCAGAACCTCTAGCTCCAGTGCCTCCAGTACCAGTACCTCCAGCTCCAGCAGCTCCAGAACCTAATGCTCCGTCGCCTCCAGCACCAGTACCTCCAACTCCAGCAGCTCCAGAACCTAAGGCTCCAGCACCCTAGCACAAGCACCTCCAGCACCAGCACCTCCAGTGCCAGTACGCGAGCGGCACCGCCGAAGATACCACTCACGAAGCTGCTATGGCGAGAGAGTCTCCTGTCGACGAGACTCCCACTACTGTCGGTCCTCAGAGTCACGAGCAGTGGTACCAACGACCCCACCGCCAGTAGGACGCTCAGCGCCCCCAGAACCAACACCCCCAGACTCAGCACCCCCAGACTCAGCACCTCCAAAACCAGTACCGCCAGAGGCGTCGCCTGCAGCGTCCGCACCCCCAGGGTCACCACCCACAGCAGCACCAGGGTCGACAGCGACAGGCTGCAAAAGCGGCGAAGACAGTCGAGGCGGAAAACCCGGAGAGGTCTCCAAGCGAGGTGAGCGGTGAGTGGTCGTTGTGTCGTCAGCAAGAACGTCGCCCCTCTCAGCTGGGCCAGAGGTGTTAGAGGTGACCTCCAAAGGCTCAACCAAGGGGGGTGGGTCTACCTGAGACACACCTGAGGGAATAGGACCTTGAGGGGGGAGAGGGTCTACCTGGGGAGGACCTGGAGCGAGGAAGAGCGGCGGGGGAGGGAGCGGGGATGTGCGGTAAGGAAAGAGACGGTAGAAGGAAACGGACTCGTCAAAGGTAACGTCAAAAGAGGACAAGACGCGGCGCAAGGCTGGGTGGTAAAACTGCCAGCCAGGTGTGTCTGTGGAAAAGCCAAGAAAGATGCAGGGAATGGCGAGAGAAGAGAGCTTGTCCGCGGAAGTATCGCGGACAAGGGTATGCGACCCCCAGACCCGAAACGCCGACGCATCGCCAACCTCCCCCGTCCAATGCAGTGTAGGCGAGGTCTCCGGCAAGGAGACACGGGGCCAGAGGTTGAGCTGATGTGCGGCGTACCGGACCGCAAACGGCCACAGAAAATGGGGAGTAGCCGCATGGATCATGGAGGTGCGAGCAACATCCATGACCAAGCCAATACGGCGCTCAGCAATCCCATTCTGCTGCGGGGAGGCCGGAAGCGTGAACGACTGGGCGATGCCCTCTCCACAACAAAAAGCCTCAAGGAGACGGGAGGAGAACTCACCGCCTCTGTCAGAGTGCAGACGCAGGACAAGATGGTTCTGCTGGAACCGAGCACAGAGCTGGTGATAGACAGTTCGGATCCAGGGGATCAAGACAGTAGGGACATCCGCCTTGCTGCGCAAGGGGAAGACCGTCGTGTACCGCGTGTAGTCGTCAACAACCAGCAGAAAATAGCGCTCACGGTCCTGTCCACTGATGCGGGCTGGGCCCCACACGTCCATGTGGAGAGTCTGCAGAGGAGCAGTCGTCGGGGGAAACGAGGAGGAGTGAGGAGCGGCGCGCTGCCGCCCCTCGACGCAGGGAAGACACGGTGGTGCAAGCGAGCGCGGGAGAGGGGGCGGGGATTTGGGGAGGCCAGAGACAAGGAGGCATGAGTGCATGCTACGCAGACACGGCAAGGAGGGGTGACCAAGATGGTGGTGCCAGAGAAGAGTCTGGTGCGTGAGAAGCCGACACGAGCAAGACGCAACTACCTGACCGGACGCAGACACCTGACCAGACGCAGCAACCTGTGTAGGGGAAGTAGTTAGTGTGTACAGGCCAGACCTAGGTTTCCGCGTCAACGTGGCAAGGTGGCGTCCCGTCCAAGCACACGTTCAGATCGCCACACGCGCTCCTCCAGGAGTAGTGGTAGTGGCCATCTCCCAAATCTTGAAGGACGGCGTTACTCACCAAGTTCGTAGAGAACGAGGGGAGGTGGAGACCTGAGAGTGAGCTAGAGGGGACTGCCCGAACACGGGAGAATAGTGGAGGCACGTGCAACGACTGGGCCCCCAGAGGGGTCGGCCAGGGAGACCGGGACTGGTGCAGTGAGCGGTGTGACTGTGGTGCTATCTCGAAAGAAACAGCGCGACGCGCCAGAGTCAAGTGTGAAAGTGTGCAGGGCCTCAGCAGGAGTAGCACCTTGGACAGCAGACGCACTAGCACCTAGAGCGGCAGCCTCTATACCAGGGTCTAGATGCACACACAAGTAACATTCACCCTTAGCACTAGCAGCGCTAACATACATAGCATGCATGGCAGCAAGAATCTTATCAAAGCCAACATTGAAGACGTCTACCCCATTCCTGAGCAGGCCTAACCAGTTGGGGATCTCAGCGTCCACACCGTACTCGGTGCGCCAGGCATCCTCGAGACGCAAGAAGCAACGGGGCTCAGTGTGGCCAACCTTCCCATAGGGGAAACCAATTCGGGGACCTGTACGCCTGATGTACGTGCAACGAACACCACCCCTCGAAGGGCCACGCTGAACAAGCCACTTACGAAGATGCTGGGGCGTCAGTGCCTCAAGCTGGCGCTGCTGCTGCCGCTGTCCACCCCCAGAGCCTCCACTACCGCCGCCGCCGCCACCACCGCCACCACCGCCGCCCCCGCCGACGCCACCACCGTCGCCACCGCCGCCACCACCACAACCACCACCGCCGCCACCACCACCTCCACTTGCGCCACCTCCACCACCGCCACCTCCACCACCGCCACCTCCACCACCCTTGCCCCCCTTGCCCTTGCCGCTGCGGCGCCTCCCACTAGGAGCAGATACAGCACCAACCTCCTCAGCACGAAGGAAGTCAACAGCAGCAGCAGAGGCAATGGAGGGCGCAAGAAGAGAGGGAGAACACCCCTCAAAGAAGGGAGTGCATGGAGTGCAACGAGATGCAGCGACAGCTACGGCACTAGTCTCAGCCGCGAGGAGCTGATTCTCCAGCAAGTCGACAGTGAGCTCGGTGGGGTCAAGGGCGATGAAGTGATCCCTAACTGCGCGAAGAGAGTTAGGGAGGTGGGTGACGAGGAAGTTAAGGGTGAAGTACATAGGGGGCGGTTCGCAGCCAGAAAGGTGGGATTGAGAGCAGCGCGGAAGCGGGTGTCACGCGTGAGCCACTTGGACTGATCTAAGTGGTCGACTCTATCGGCTGGGGCGGGGAAGGATCCGGACGTATGTTCTATCAATGAAACCCCATCCCTAGCTTTGCTCTACAGGTACAGCTGGAGATCGTCGAGCCAGACATCAAAGCTAATAGGGCGACCCTCCGCATCAAAGCTAAGAACCAAAATGGTGGCCGTACTAGTAGGAGCAGCAATAACAACAGTAGCAGCAGCAGCAGCAATCGCTGTAGTAGCGGCAGCAGCAGAAGTAGTAGCAGGGCAGCGAGGCTTGGGCAGCACGGTTCGGGTTGGGCAGTACGACTCGGTAGGGCGGCGTGGCTTGGGCTGGGCAGCGCGGCTCAGCAGGGCGCAGCGCACTAGCGTGTGCTGCATTGTGGACAAGTCCGCTATGCACACATACTAGTGTGTTGAAACCCACGATTGTGGTATGATACATGTACAAGTGATTATTCTGCCCAACCTGCCTTGTGCAGCACGTCATATCCCTCCAAGAGTGCTCGTGAGCAGTATGGTACATCTGTGGATCGACGACAACAGGTTTACAAAACGTGCGTCGAAAGTTCAAAATTTGGCTACCATGCAATGGTGCCAGCAGAGGTACCAGGCTTGGGGATTGTCCAAGTGAGCTGTCTACGGCTCTGCAACTCTCGCAGAAGAAATTACCCGATGCTGATGTGCTTCACTATGCTCTCCAGTCGAGGTTCTCGACACAGGAGAATCATCGCCTTGTTGTCAGTAAACAACGTCGGTGCAGAGCTCAGCCGCTCACCAAGGTCAGTGAGCAAGAAGGTCAACCAACGCAGCTCCTGTGCAGCCATGGCTCCAGCGTAGATCTCAGCCTCAGCGGTAGAGGTCGAGACAGAGGAGGAACGCGTGGACCTCCACGAAACAGCTCCAGAGCCCAGGCTGAAGCAGTACCCCTGAGTAGACCTACAAGTACGACAGACTTTCTCCCTCCAAGTACCAGCGTCATGCCTGATGTCGTCGCTAGGTACTTCTCCAATGAACAGGACAGTATCTCCCTGGCGCAACAAAGCGAGCAAGGATGCTGAGAGGGAAGGCGAGGTCTGGGCGAGTACAAGTCATCAGGTACATGAGGCAGACCACCAGCTCTGGGTAAGGACCACTAGGCTCAAACGGCTCGTGAAGAGGTGTGCGCTGAGTCTATGGTCAACGGCAAGAGGTGTGCGCTGTACGGTGGAGTGCTGAAGCCCGAACCGTTGAAGGACCTGCTGCACCATGTGTGACTGTGAGTGAGTAATAATGCGAGTAGCTCTATCCATGGTGACCTGCAGGCCTAGGGAGTGTTGAAGCTCAGCAAGGTCAGTGCACGTGTGTCACTTCTGCAGTTCGGACTTCACGTCAGCAGAAACAACCCTGTCAGCAATGGCGAAGACCAGATCATCGACGTAGACTAGGTCCCCTTGAAGACTGGAGGAGATCCCGGTGGCCGCTTCACCTTGAAGATCCACATGCCATCAACTACGTTCGCCCCCGGAAGGGGAACCTCGTCGACGTAGGTGCCTGTGGATCTGTAGGAGGCCATCTCTGCGTCCATGGCAGCTCGCCACTGAGAGGCCCAAGGCCCTGACACTGCCTCAGTGTAAGTGCGAGGAGTCGGTATGTCAAGGGCGTCGGGGTCTCCCTCAAGGGCGAGTAGCATGGCACAGAGATGAGGGGAAGCGGTTGCCAGGAACTCCAACTCAAATTGCCTATCCTCTAGGGCGTCACAGCCAAGGGCAGACTCACCCCCGACGGCTAGAAGACTGATAGGAGGAGCAGCCACGCCACGAGTGCCGTAGTCAAGGAGGTGAGTAGTGGCGAACTCTGTGACGGCGTCAGTAAGGTCGGAGACATAGGACAGTGAGGCACGAGGGTGTGTAACAAGAGAGGCGAGAACACGAGAGAGAACAGGACGGTACGTGCGGTAGTAGTCAGTGACAGGAGTAGAGAGGGAAGCAGTGAGGGCCAACTGAAGAGGAGAAGGAAGCACAGACGGAGACGAACGAGGCGGACTAGAACGGAACAAGACAGTACGAAGGTCGGTGACAGGGGCATGGGACGAGGGACGAGCACGAGGAGAGCGAGAAGCCCAAGTGTGAGAAAGAGGAGGGGACAACGGAGGCTGAGAACGGGGGAAAACAGCTAGGGTGGGGTCAGGAGTAGGAAGCGTAAGACCGTAGACAGGAGGAGAGGGGGAGGAGGGAGGAGAGGGAGAGGGGAGACCGAGGGTCCGAGAGAAGGCCAGAGACAGGTGGCAGAGGTGGTGGCTGCTGCTGCTCCTGTTGCGGGGGCTGCTGCTGCTGCTCCTTCTTCAGCGGCTGCTGCTGCTGCTGGTCCTACTACGGCGGCGGCGACTGCTGCTACTGCTGCTCCTCCAGCTGCAATAGCTCCTGCTGCTGCCGCTCCAACTCTAGAGCGCTCTCTCTCTCTCTCCAACTCCAGCTGCTCCTCACGTGCACGGCGAAGACGGGCCTGGTGCCAGGTCAGGTAGGGGTGTGGGGGAGAAGTAGGGTCCGAGGCGGTGGTAGCGGTAGGACCACCCTCCAAAGCACCAGTCGCACCACCTCTAGAGCCAGCACCACTGAAAGCAATACGGTCAGCCCCAGGCTCTCGGTGTCCAGCAGAGGGCGCACCCGCAACCCGAGTCGTAGAACCCCCAGGGACAGCTTGACTAACACCAGCTCTTGCAGTCACGGGCTCAGCCCCAACTCTAGCACCCCCAGAACCAGGACCTTGTACAGGTACACTCTTAGCTCCAACACCAACACCTCTAGAGCTAGCACCTCCAGGGTCCTCGATACAAGCACTAGCTGTAGTAGGGTCTCTAGTAGGCTGTTAGGAGGACTCTGGGAAAAAGGATGGCACCTAAGGGGATACCGAGGGAAGGAGGGGGGGCGTGTGACACACCTGACAGGGCTGGACCAGGAGGGGGAGGCTGTACCGGAGGAGCAGGAGGGGGAGCAGAAGTCAGGAAGAGAGGGGGAGGAGGAACCGGGAGACCTCGACAGGGGTACCGGACGTAGTAGGGGACGGACTCGTCGAAACGGACGTCACGAGAGTAAAAAAATCGGTGAAGGGGAGGGTGGTAAAAGGAGAACTCAGAGGAGTCCTCGGGAAAACCAAGGAAGACACAGGTAAGGGTGCGAGGGGAGAGCTTGTCCACGGAGGTGTCGCAAACAAGCGCTAAGAAGCCCCACACACGAAAACACAACGCAGCACCAGGAGACCCAATCTTAAGACGTGTCGGCGAAACCTCTGGCCGAGAGACACGTGGCCAGAGGTTCAGCTGGTGAGCGGCGTACCGAACCGCGTAGGGCCACAGAAAATGGGGGGCACGGGCGTGAGTCATGGAGGTGCGGGCGATCTCCATGACCAAGCCTATGCGGCGCTCAGCTACCCCATTCTGCTGTGGGGACTCTAGAAGCGTCCAGGACTGGAGGATGCCCTGCTCGCGACAGAATCTGGCGAGAACACCGGAGCAAAACTCACCCCCGCGGTCAGAGTGAAGACAGCTGACACGACGACCACGAGTGTCTGCAGTGATATGAAACCACTGTATCAGTGTAGAAGTCATCTCAAACTTCTTTTCCAGGGGGAACACTGTGGTGTAGCGAGAGTAGTCGTCAACGACCACCAGAAAGAAACTCTCTCGCTCAGGGCCAAAGCGAGGGGCGGGGCCCCAGATGTCCAAGTGGAGAGGCTCGAAGGGCTCGGTGGCCGGACAAAGGGAGGAGGAGTGAGGGGTGGCGCGCAGCCGACCCTCGACGCAAGGGGCGCAAGGTGGTGTAGGCGAAGGCCGCAACGACCGCAAGACTCGCGGGAGGCCTAAGACAAGACTCTAACTAGACATAGTGCGCAGGTGAGGAATGGACGGGTGACCAAGGCGCTGGTGCCACAGAACGGTGGGGTGGGCAAGCGACCGACACGAGCAAGACGCAGCAACCATACCAGACGCTGGAACCTGACCATACACAGCTATCTGGTGGGAGGCGGCAACCTGGTGAGATGCAGGGACCTGACGGGGGGCAGTGACAGGGGTCGGAGGCAGCAGCAGCAGCTGCTGTTGCTGCTGCCTCTCTCCAGGCCGGTGTGAAGTGTGTAGAGACCAGAGCCCGGCTCAGCGTGAAAGGTGGCCAGGGGCTTGTACGTGTCACCGTCAACACAGGTCGCAGAGTGCCCAGAAGGCTCAAACCGAGCACCCACGTGACTACCCACGAGCAGCTTCACACCCACCAAGTTTCTGGAGAACGAGGGGACGTGGAAGCCCGTCAGGAAACCCGAGGAAATAGCCGGGCACGGAAGTGTAGTAGTATAGCGAGCAGTGACTGGTCCCAAAGTGGGATCAGCCAGTGCTACAGAGACCGGCGCAGGAAGCGGAGTAAGCGTCGTGTGGTCGCGGAAGAAACAGTGCGAAGCTCCAGAGTCCAGAGTGAAAGACAGCGAAGCGTCCTCCGGAGCAGCTCCTGGACTAGTACCTAAGCAAGTACCTACACTTGCAACTCGCACAGGATCAACATTAGCACCTAAGCTATAAACACGCAAGCAAACAGAGTCAGAAGCACTAGAGTCAACAACAGCATACATAGCATGAGGAGTTCCTAAGAGATCAAGCAACTGAGAAGCAGACATGCCCCACAGAGCAACATCGTGCGAATGAACATAAGGAAACCAGTCAGGGGCAGGGTCGTCGACGCGGTAGGCCGCGCGAAGAGTGTCAGTGAGCTGAGCAAAGCACTGACCCGGTGGGTGGCGGCGGTCACAGCGGAGGCCGCTGCAATTACCTGTCTGGACGAGGTATGGGCAAGGAGGGAGGGCGTTACCACGCGACACGGTCCTGATGTCAGAATGTTATTCTCTAGCCTGTAGTGGGGTGCTCTGTAGCGAGTACAACCCATCTAGGGTTTGCTATATGTATCCTCATTG